GACACCGTCTGATTTAAGATTGTGAGAACGAAGTTTTTTTGTATTGACACATAATATAATGGGGCATTGCAAATTTTCTCAAAAAAAACAAAAAAAATAAAATAAATATATATATATATATATATATATATATATAAAGGCTTTAAAAAGATAACCTTGTTAAGAATTGCCACAGGTGAAAGTTCCTCGGATACCAGTAGTGTTTCAGCATCAATCCTGACTGGTGCGTCACTACCATCGAGTACAACTTCTTCTTGATTGACTTTTATCCCGTGAAACACAACCTGAAATTTTATGTAGATAGTAGGATTGTATCTTCAAAGTAGAACAAAACAACACATCACATCCCACTTTATAAAATAGATCATACATGAAGCCAAAAGAAAAAATCATTCACATAAAAAGATCCAATTATACTTTGTTCACAGGCTACAATATAGAAACTGATAATTACAAAAATAATGGATCAAGAGAAAGGAAAAAATATAACGTTAATTCCTCATGAGATGTTTCTACAGCCTTCACCTTTTAAGACTTGTTACTTAAGTTCCTGATTTGTTATATAGATGGAAAATGGAAAATCATCAACCAGTAAAGGGAATAATCATCCTGTGCCATGCAATTCAATACCTAGAAGATTTTTCAATTTGTCAAAAAGAAACGGTAAAATCTATATCCAAGTATCCAGGACGGGTAAAAATTCATCTTAATAAGAATTCTGTTACCACAAAATCATTCATCTTAATAAGAATTCTGTTACCTCAAAATCCACACTCGCAGTCTCATGACTCCCTATGCCGCTTGACCAAAACTGTGAAATGACTAGTTCCAATGTCTGACCACTTACTACCCTAAAGGCAAAGCTTTTGGCAGCAGGAGAAGGAAAAGTTACTGCACTCTCCCATTTCAAAGGCCTTCGTAATGGGCACATCTGGGCATAGAAAACATGTTAACAAGACTGCCATAATCTCACTAAGTTTCAAGCCACAAGCCATACCTGAATAGCATCCACATAAAATCTTCGTGCTGTGTCAAAACCTGATGTTTTCATTGTTGCTTCGGCCCAAGATGCACCATGTGGCACTTCTATATATCTCCTTTCTATATGGCCTAATGAAGTAACAAATAAAAGCAAATAACTGAAAGTGTTAAAGACCAATGTCAATGATACTTGTGCTGTACTAATACTAATACTCGCCCAAACATGAATAAGATCTGTATAATGATATAGCCTAACTAAATAAGTAGGAGCATCCCCATCATATGTTTCACTCTCACTATGCATTGATATTAGGGCAACATACTAGAAAATACAGAAGAAATGTGAATGCAATGCAAATATGAGATATAAATAATTTAAGTCAATGCCAAATGCCAATATTAGATGTAATAGGCAAAAAAAATAAGGCTACTGGGCAATAGCAATGTTTCGGTTCATATGCATTATATGTGAATCCCAGATTTAAAACCTTAGTAGGACACCAGCAAAAAGAAGCATGAAGATAAAGAAAATCAACTAATGCACACCTGGCTGGAATAACATCTTTGAAAATGAAATTTGTGGTGGCTGGTTAATTATGGCCTTGGGCTTTGTTATGCTGATCGGAATTCTGAAAAGAGGACCACGCCATGGAGCTTTGCAGTCAATACCATAGACCTCAAAATAATGAAGACCATCGCAAAGATTGGAAGGATCTACCACTACACTGAAAATGGAAGAAAACATGTGTCATTAAGAAAACCAAACTACAAATTAAGATTATTTAACAGACTAGATAAGGGTAAAGACTCAGGTGCAGAGTAATTTCAGTTTATAACAAAAATAAATAAATAAAATAGACAAGGGTAAAGACTCTTTTAGCAACACAACCAACGTAAACAAACAATGAAAATAATTAAAGCACACTAACTTGAAGGTGCGACCATTATGAGTGAGCAATAGATAATCAGGGGCCTTCACAACTGTCTCTTCTGTAGAATGTAATTCAATGCACTCCTCAAATGGAACCAAATCCTCTAAGTTTCCAGCATCTTCATGAAATTTTGGATTAACTTGCACTGTCCACTGTGAATATGTGCAACCAAAAGTTAGAAAAAATATTACTTATAGAAATCACAAAGGACTTGCAACAAAATGCAGAAGTGACTGATAAAAAGATTAAAATTTTGAAAAGTTGAAGCAACCAAAGACACTTATAAAGATTGGAGGATATAATATATGGGTCAAAACTTATTCCAGGGTGGCAGGGTAAGTCAACCAAATTAAATGGGTGATTGATAATAATTGACATATGACTGTTAATTTGATATTCAATAAAACAATTCGCTATTGTATAATCTTCCGACTAGCTATGTAGCATGTAGCATACCACTACAACGTTATTGGGCTCAATCACTGGGCGCCACTATCCCAATTGATTCTACTTGATGAGATTGGATACATGATTGAAATCATTTCTTTTCTAAAACATTGTACCCTGAGCACTTGAACAGAGCATTTGAAGAAAACAGAAAAGGAGAATGAGAAAACATCTCCCAGTTGTTTCTGTTTAGCTTTTTATTTTCAAAACACTTGCTTTGGAAACAACTTTCAAAACAGTAGATTTTGAATAAGAAATTGATTGCAACATATGTAGAATTGTTTTAGAAAACAGTTTTTAAAACAAAAAAAATTGAGAAGAGAATCAAACCGACACAATCCCTCTCCATTTTTTTACCAACAGAATGGCGATGACTCTAATCTTGTTCTTTCATTGTTATCTTGTAAAGGACTATAAACTAGGGTAGCATTGTGAACTCTTTAATTTCTCATCATTTATAAAATTACAGTATGAGTTAACCAAGATTGGATACAAGTACAAATATGTAATTGGTTTTCCCATCTTTAATTCATTCTACAAGTTTCAAGACACCTGACTCAATCATTGTGATCAACAATGCAGTGAAGCACGACAAATTTATCAATGATCTCACCTCAGTAGATTGTCGGCAAGCACTAGCCTCCCTAAGGTAGATGCCCCTTGATGAAGGATCTGCCATTAGCAATCATACAACAGTATTAGCTATTACTCCACAATCTAGCTTTTCCTCCTAGACAAATTAATTTCAATTTTATTGTTTCACAAGAGGACCATACATAGAGAAATTAACTGTCACCTTGTTCATGAAAAGGTTCTGTCAAGGGAAATCATTACTGAGTCTGCCAGCTCAAATGACCAACTAACAAACGTCTTGACAAAATATTTAAAGGAACCATAAATTCAATGTATCTGTTCCAAGCTTGGTGCATTCAACTTATATGCTCCAACTTGAAGAGGAGTTTAGGAAACGGTTTCTATGTAAAAGGAATTGCTGTCTACCATAGATGAATAGTCAAATTTATGTAGTATTTATCATTATTCTTAGGGAGTTGCATTTTTATTTATTATTCTTAAATGTAATTTATTCTGAAATGGGTATAAATATAAATGCTGATGAGTGCTTTTCCACTCAAGCAATTTACCAGAATCTCAATCTCTAACTATAATTCTTTTCACCACCATTAGAATTTTCTTTCTTAATCCTGGCAGATAGGTTGTCATGTCTTGCATGACAATAATAATAACATACTACACTTTCTACAGTTACAAATATAGGGGAAAGCCAAAAGATAATACTGTTACTATCTTTGGTCACATAAGGGTAAGGTAATGTACATGGTAGAATGTAAACTCACTTGTTTTTCCAGATTGCTGAATTTTTATTTGATAGCAAACACATGGAACATTTTGACACTTCTGTATATATTCAAAAGCCCTGTCAAGGAGTATATGATTTAAGTCAATAAATGTCACAAAACTACCATTTACTAAAATTTCCATGGAAGTAAAAACTGGGCAAATTACTAACTTGTCAACTTGCATAAGCCCTTGTCCAGTGGATAATTTATCCTCAGGTAAATCCCCTATGGGAACTGCAGTATTTTCAAGAGCCTTCCTCACACTGTATGGACTCACAGGGATTCCCTCGGCCTGCATGCAGATCAAACACATCCAAAAACTAGAGATATGTGCGCAAGTAGAGACAACTAAAAAAGATAAGCTTTAAAAGAACTGCATGCAAGAACCTTCATTGCACTTATGAGCAATGCAGTTCCTCCACAGGCTGATGGTGATGCCATTGATGTCCCATTCATGAGCATACGCCGTTGAAGAGTCCACGTGGGAACAGGAGCTACAGCACCACCAGGAGCACTCACACAAACACCAAGGTCTCCATCTGCTGTTGGTCCTCGGCTAGACCTGCAAAATTATTTCCATCAATCATGAAATGATAATGATGAAAAAAAAAAAAAAAAAAAAAGTAACAAAGCTAAAGACAAAAGGATATAAAAAGTCATCCAATTAAGAAGTTCAGAGAAGCAAATATACCAAGTGTATTCAAGCCCCTCAGGTGGAGGTTCAACAACACAATGAGCACCGGCAGCCATAGCAGGAGACACATATGCACCCACACCTATGATGCTTGAAGATGTACCACCAGGTGCACCAACAGTGCTCAATCCTGGCCCACTATTACCAGCACTGCTCACAAATATCAGACGATGCTTGTTCACCACCTAGAAGTAAATCCACCAGGTGCATCAACAACTTAGAGAATAGAAAATGATAAATAAATGATACAAGTGCCCAGCTAAAATGAAAGTCTAAGAAAATACTTCATTCACAAGGTCAACAAAGCGTCCATAGTCTGGCAATAATGTTGCTTCACCATAACTCATGTTGATAAGGTCACACTTATGCTGAAAAAGGAATGTTGAATGCCCATCACTAGATGTCTTACTTATACAGGATGTTATAAAATCTTAAAACAAACTCAGCTCAGCAAACACAAAAAATCAAACACATCATCTTTCACTTGTCAGAAAATCCAGGATAATCAGATAAAGAGGAGGAGAAAGAAGAAAATTTTGAAGCACCTCCACAGCTTCAATCAACGCCCGAATCAAACCAGTTCCTGTTTCCATTGAACCTAAGCGAGAATCCCCAATTTTACAAGATATTATTTGTGCGCCAGGTGCAACTCCATTCAACAGGGGCTCCTAACAACAATATTGTATGTCAAAAGGTATAGCACTCCTCATAAGAATATGTTGCACTATATGGATAAAATTATACATCAGTACCTTTGGGTGGAAAGCAGTAGCTATACCAGCAACATGGGTGGCATGTGGAGAACAGTCTGTTACAAGACTTAAAACATTTCCGTCACTGTAGACATTAACAACAAATGTACAAGCATCTAATTTGCTGAAGACACCGTACTTCCTCTCAATCCTGAAAGAATAGGCAGTCACAGTTAGCATTGAAACCATATATGATTTTGTTTTTACATAAAACCATTTATAATTTTAATACATTATTACATACTACACTTGATAGAAACAAAAACAAATGATAATGGCTTCAATAGCTAAACCACAAATATATTTTCTTCGATAGCAAAGTTAAATCTAAAACATCTTAACTATAATAAAGGTGGGAAACAAACTCTTCCAACTCAATTGTTTAGTTTCTCCTTTTCTAGGAAAAATATGTTGTCTATTTGATTTTTTTTCTGTAATGCTTAAACCAGTAAGAAATCTAAAAACCCTGAGTGGAGAAACCAAATACATTGAGAAGTGTTTTTTTTGCAGAAAGTCGTCTAAACTGTTTTGTTGTACAAATAAAATGGTTCAATATGATGACATAAAAATCAAGTGTTCAAATTCTTTCAAAAGAAAAATTGAAAAAGCACTAAGAACAACACACTGAAGCTTCAATCCCATTCAACTAATTTCACATTTACATTTAAAAATATAATATATTTTCTAATATGCAACATCACAGTAGCATTTTGTTGTAGTAGAAATAGCTCAGGAAAACAAGGGGAGAATCAATAGAACAAGGTTTTCAAACAAGGGCTGTATGCAGTGACAATCAAGAAAAGGTTCTCTAGAGTAGGAAATGTTTTGCCAAAACAGAAGTATCTGCCAATTTCATGAGACATCCAGAACAAAAGCTATCAACTAAGATTAACATTTATATTAAAATATTATCGCCGTAAATATACCTATAGTTAGTTAAAGGTATAAAATTAGCAAGCTTCCCACAATTTGGATCATCCTCCAGACTCTGTGTGTCAAGGGCAACCCTCCAAACCTCTCCATCATGCCAGACAACAGCATCTATGACAGGCCCTTTATCATCATAGCTCTAAAACATAAATCATTCCCTTTTCAAAATAAAGAACTTTAATTGAAAAAATTCTCAGTAAGAGCACAAACACAAATACGAATGTCTCTTTTGATTTGAGTCTTTGAGATGAGTGAAAGGGAGAAAAAACAATAATTTCATCTTTTTTTCTCTGGCGGGTGGAAAAGATTTTTCCAACATTATTTCATGGTCACAATCATTCTATCAATATCCTCATTCCATGACTTATGAGCGTCCCATAACAATTTAAATTCAGTTCAATTGTTCATTTCTTATTTCAAGGACAAGAAGAGGCACAAATGCCCAAAGAGCAACAACACATGATGACATGCTCAGCACTCACCTCAGATTGCTTTCTCAGAATATCAAGTCTATTCTGGAGATCTTCACGGGTCCTTTTAAGTTTTACATCCTCTACCTTGATGTGTTGCTAGAAAATGTATCATGGTTTGAGTTATATGGAACAAGAATGATATAATAAAATAAAAAAACAACCACATCATATCTAGATAAGCATGATAGCTATTCATATGCGATTTGATCTGGCATTTAGATTAAAAAAATCAACAGGCAATCAGATACAGATATCTTAAAAGTAAATGAGCATTTAGAAGGGAGAAAAAATAGTGCATCCCACAGTGCTAAGTTATATCCATATTCATGGGCACTGTTTAATCTTTAAAAAAAACAACTCATCCATTCATAATAGCATAAAGATTAAAGATGCACTACTGATGAGTACTTCCAGACAGAATGTTAAGAATATGACAAAGAATAAAAGAAAGCAGGCTGGAATATTAAAGGATAAGTTTCTTTATTGTCTCAAATACAGTACTAATTAATGTATCAACGGGATAGGAAAATGCAATAACAAAAAGAGAACAAGTAACAGCTTGCCCCTGCAATATGCCATGCTGACTAAACAAAATTTGGAAGTAGTATGAGTATATCATATATAATTTAAAGTTATACAATTTTAGCATATGTAAAAATCAATAAAATTTTCCAATGAACCTGATCAAAGTCAGCAAGTTGTTTTACAGCCCTAGCAATTTCCTCTTGGTTTTTCTCATCCCACTTTTTCTTTCTTTCTTTCTGTCAATGAACATTTCAAAAGGAGAAAACAGAAATTAGATCTATTAGCCAAATGTATGAAGCTAAAAAAGAAACTAAAATATTTCATAAAACTGTAGTGCTACCTTCAAACGAGAAATCAAATCTTCTGTGAATAGCTCATAAACCAATTTATAACCCACATGCCATTCACCAGAAGGATTTTTCCATGAAGTATTGATAACCAATGATGCCCCTGTACAATATTTTCAGGAAGATCGATGCATAGACAAGAGCTCAATAATTAAATGGTTCATTTTCCTTAACTAACAATTGAATAAATAAATAAAAAGGGACAAAACAGGCACCAGAGTTGAGAGATACATGCATGCACACAAAAACAACACAGAAAACAAGAAAAACAAAATACTTCATCACGAGGAAAACTTTAAGGACCTGTTTGGATTCTGTTTTTAATAAGATTTTTTGTAATTAATAATAACAATTAATGAAACCTTGTCGAAGAGTGTTTTCTTATCTTAATTTTTCAAAACAATATAACAGGGTACGCATTTTAAAACCAAGAAAACAGAAAACAAATCAAATATATTTTTAAATTTATTATTCTGTAAATGATTAAAATTGGAACACTGCCTCATCAACAGAAATCAAAACCAATCAGGCCCTCATACATAATTTGTCACTCAATTAGGGTATACTAGAAATCACTTCTTTAATGCACAAGTGATCAGGAGTATCAATTTGTTTTCATACAGCCCTATTCATTGTAATATTGTCTTGTTTGATCCCTAAACAAGGTCACCATAAGCTGTGCACGTAGTTTTCTTTTACAAATACCTCCCCCAGTTACAAGCAATTACTTCAATATACTGAAAAATGTCTGACCATGATTATTTATATTTGCCGGCTATATTATTCCTAGCACAAACCTGATGCCCCAAAAATATGACCATCAGCATCAGCCTTCACCACCTTTGAGGTATCAATATCACCACTCCCAGTGCTAAAGAAAGAAAAGGTACCATATAATTATTGGGAAACCAGTACACACTCAAAAGAATTATAAGCTAAAACTCCAACATGAAGTACTTTCTATTTACCAATCAATGACATCGAGAACTTTTGGTTTCCCATCTGAGGTAACCTGTAATCCATCAGCAGCCGGGTCTATACCAGAATCTGTAAACATGCAGATCAAATGATATAACAAATATGAACCATTAACAAATGCAATCACAATATAACAAAAACATACATATGAATACAAGCAGCATAATTATTACTTTAAATTTTAATAGCCATTTTAGTAGCAGAAAATTAGATTGGCACAAAACCAATGAAAGAACACAGTGAAGGTTACAATCATTACTCCACGGTCTAGTGAGAACAAATAACAATGAAAAACACACTTCCCACAAAAAAAAATCAAGAAAAAATGGATCCAGAATAAAACCACAAGAAAATGCAAACATAGCACGTGCCAAACCCCTCACGCACGTACTTTCATCACTAAATCTAAAATAAAATAAAATAAATCAAAGATTCAAAGACAACAAATCCCTGATATGTGAATAAAGAACACAACTCAAAATCATAATTACCAAAACTCCTCACAAACAAAACTTTCAAAAAGCACTAAAAAGAAATAAATAATAGAGAAAATAAACCTGATTATAGCATAATAAATTTTAACCACACAACAAATCAACTCAAACACAGTCCTCAACTCGAGATTACCTCCAATTTATCACTTCTGAACATTTCAATGACCGAAGAAATAAATAAATAATAGATCAACAAACCTGATTACAGTATAATACATTTTAACCACACAAAAAATCAACTCAAACACAGTTCTTAACTCGAGATTATCTCCAAATTTTCACCTCTGAACATTTCAACAACCGAAAAAATAAAAATTAAAAAAAAATAGAGAAAATAAACCTGATTAGACTATAACAAATTTTAACAACAAAACAAATCAACTCAAACACATTACTTCCAATTTTTCACTTCCGAACATTTCTACAACCGAAAAAAAAAATAAAGAAAGAAATAACAGAGAAAATAAAAGCATAGCGAAGGAGAGTGAGTGAGTCAACGGCGAAGAGTACCGAAGATAGCGATGAGAGCGCCGCGACCGTCGTACTCAGGATGCGCGTCGAGGAAGCGATCGACGCCAATCTCTTGCTTAGGCATGAGCGAGGCTAAGAAGGTTGATTCGTTCAGCTTGAAGTCGCGGAGAGAAGAACCATCTTTCTTGTTGTTGTTGCTGCTGTTGCTGTTGCTGTTATCGCCGGCGGTGGAAGTGAGGGAAGAGCAAGGCATTGGCCTGTGAGCGATACGGTGCCGTTTCGTCGATGTGCTCGAAGGTGGAAGCTCTTCGTGTTGTGTGCGAGACCCTTGGGAATGATGATTATGATTATGAGGGGAACGTGAGTGTTGGTGCGTATCGGGTTTGGGATGTGTATACGGGGGGAGTGAAGAGTGGGTGTTTTGGTCATTTTATGAGGGGAGATGACGTGGCGGTGGTGCTTGGCTGCGGGTGCACCGTGCACGGATGCTGTGCTGG